CTCCATTTAGCACCCCCCAAGACAATAACTGCAGAAATCCATCGACTGCAATGGCTATAGCTATTCTAATTTTGACAGAATATCAATTTAGTATGTCCTTGTGGAGTATACCAGGCCTTGCATCTCCCGTTTGAGCTTTGGCTCGGAGCATATCCAGGCGTTCGGCCGGCCTCGTCGCATGCATCATTCTAAGGCCTCACTGTTTTAGTGTTCACGTTTGGAAATTATTATGGATAAGAGACACAATTAATATTAACTATCAAGGATTGGATTAGCCAGGTATTACTTACATTTATTGAGGTGACGGACTTAAATGCTTACTGCTGGGCGTATAGTTGCTTATCTCAATGATTGGTCGACGGCTTGACCCGTTCAAATGTATCTAGGTCTTTGCTAGCTGTTTAACTGAAGATACAATTTGGACCTAGGTGAGTTAGTCTAACTAGTTGGTGATATTCCCTATTTGGTGCACTAGTAAATTAATTGAATCGGCATAAAATAAAGTTAAAAAATATTGCCAAATTCGCTTTTTATTATGACCATGAAAAATGCAAACCGGCTTTATTTTGGTCAATTGAAACAAAATACGGAAATTCAACATTGCGAGTATACTATTCACAGAATGAAAGGTGGCATTTTTATGTAAGACAGAGGCAAGTTTTTTATACAAACAAGTTCAATTACCCAAAAGTGATTTATTCCAGCCAAATAAGCCGACTTATTCGTCCGAGCCCAGACCAAGTTCGTTAAGAAATAATTTTTCTTCGTCAAGATATACCGCGTAATCCCTCTAAAAGGTTTTTTTAATAAGGGGATAATTTATGACTAAAAGGTAAGATTGGAAACTACAGATTTAGATTTTACACTAACTCAGTGGGTCATTCTGTAGTATTTCTTGGTTAGCACTATAACGTGCGACAAATTTGTTTAAATTGGTATCTTTCTCAACAGAATTAGTTTAAAAACTACGATTAAATGCGATCAAACTTCTGCATACTCACAATTATGTTTGTAGGTTATCCTATTGTTATCAAGTTCTAAAGCCTGTACATATTCTAATCAAATTCTAAGGAGTGCTGAATACGAGTTGACTTATAATTGCTAAGTTGGGTAACCTATCAAATCAACTCGATGATATAAGGGCTCGTAAGCATAGTATGCAATAAATTTGGATTAATATCTAAGTATTGTAGGATTTTTGCGGATAAAGTAAAGTCAGACTATAAACAAGGCGAGTTGGTGGGAAAACAAGATGAGCTGATCTTAAAAGTTGTCTCACCTGTTCCCGAGCTAAAATTTCATCATCTGTCATCTGGACGTGTACTGAGATACCAGCTTTCAATTTTGCCTCGTTCTCTTTTTCCACCCTCTCCTGCTCCCTCAAAGCCCAACGCATCAGAACATATTCACGCCTTTTTATTTCCCTACCAATGTAAGCAGTCAAGTTGGAGTAGTCGTTAGGGCCCATCTTGCGGAGTCTCTGTGGTACCTGTAGAGAACATTAACATGATATGCGTGCGAATTGTAAAAGGAAAATAAGTCAAAACACAAATTGGTATTCGAAATAAAATTTTGTATTGTTTGCACTTTTCCATCCTTCTTATGTATCTTTATTTCTGCCAGCTCTTAAGCACTCAGATCATATTTTTATGGATAACCCGAAAAGGATTGTAATATAAAACAAAAATACTCCGAGTAAACATGTATTAGAATAATTAAGACCTAGACATTAACTAAAAGCAGTTGTATCCAATTCGCAATATCTTACACAGTGATAATTAAGGTGTGTACGATGCTTTTATGGCGTGACATGACTACGCCAATTAATTTCCTTGTATGTAACGACCTTATCATCTATATATGGCTTATGACTCAATAATGTGGGCAAGGTGCTACGAAAAAGTGATCAAAACAGTTTATATCTTTTATTTCGTTCACTTATATACATTTCCAAGTTATACTTAATTTAGGTTCATATAACAATCTAGGATGGATTTGCTTACAATTAGAATTTGTAGAGCCCCGTTTGCGTCTCCTACGGCCAGAAGTTGTTTTTTGGGTGTTGTCCAGAGAGCAATTGCTGTAAGTGACACTGATGAGACAGACTGGCCCATAATAGGTTCATTTGTTTTGTCCAAAAGATCCCACACTTCAACACTTCCATCCGATCTTGTTAGATAAAATACCGATGCGCGTGTGGGGGACCATGCAGCGCCTAAACAGGAAAGCATGGAGACAGTTACTTTGTAAAATGCTCCCTGAATTCTGTAATTATCTAGTCAATAATAATAACATAGTGATGCATCTGGATTTGTGCAGAGCAGCGATGCTACACGAAAACTTAAATGAAATTGCAAGTAACTCAATTTTATTCGTATCATTCGTTCTAGAATCTGAGAATCTGAGCCTTTAATGTCTCCTTGAATTTCAGAATATTTTATTTTAATGGTCTTCATGATATTTAATGAGATTCCACCTTCTCTAGGTTTATATTAAATTACCTTCTACCATTATGTAATAATTAGTAATGAGGGCAGGACGAGTGCTGAACTTCACCACATCTTGGCCAGAATCTACCTTGGCAAACGATGCTTATTAAACCTCAGGATTAATATTAAGTCTTACAGTCGGTTCATCGTGGAAATATGAACGATCAACTCTGATAAATATAACTACATGAAGAAAGTTATCGGCAGTTGAAAAGATTTAAGTAATTTAAATGGTTAATGACCAATAATATCTATATGCTGGAACTATGACGCATAAATAAATCAGTGAGTCAAAATAAGAAATTATTTGTTTTAATACAGGGGAAATAATAGGCAAGAACAAAACGAATCTAAGATTATTTGATTTAATTGTCTTGAGTGATGAGCCCCATTAAAACGTTCATGGGGCTCTGCCTTTCAATTTTATTATTTTCCTCAATCAATAAAATTAATCAAGGACATAAATATTGAGGCATAAGCTTGCAAACCGCCAGAGTCAAGGAAAGAACTTAGAACTTTTGGATATCTCTTGATAAAAGACGTTATTGAATCTGGAAAGTAACCTTTGGATTTAACTTTAGTATAAATAGCCTCTAAATAATTCGTCACCTATTGTATTTTCAATTCGGAGTAAAATTTGAAGAAATTTGTCGAGTAATCCTAGTAGACGACTGTCTTGAACTGAATCGTTACTCAACCTTACTGGCGATTTTGGTCCACTAAACGAATACCTCTTAATATCATGGAATTTATACCTCCTAAGTTGACCCCATGCGTATGATCAGAAGACAAATTATAAAGGAGTATTGCATGTATTTGTTTTATATGTGCATCATTACCCAACTAATTCCATCTTTACTAACTAGGACATCAAGAAGAGAATGCCTACCCATCTTCTCTCACTCAATAGTAAATTAAGTAATTCCACCTACTTTACTGATTAAATAAAATTGTGCACAAATCAATGGTCACAATTCTGAGGCAACCTCCATTTGCCAAATTTTTTCTTCGGAATAGAGACTCCAAATGTGCATCCATATATTTATTTGTATAATACCTCATTCAACGAATAAATCTTGCCTGTACTCATCTGCTGAAGGGGCTTACGAGTGTACACCTTTTAGTGCCAACTAACTCAGCCCTACTAATAAAAATATTAATTTTTCATAGTATGAATAATAAAAAAGGCTCCCTCATGGATCGATTAAAATAAAGGCATAGCTGTTATCAGATTTATGTAGTCTTAGCTCATGCTTTCTCTTGTCTCATCCATAGCAATAAAACTATCATTACCTACATACGAAAGATTGCATCATTTTTATTTTATAAGTAGGTTTTCGAAACTACTAGTAGCTCTGATATAAGATATGTATTCACTCTATTTAGTTTAAGGTGATAAAGGGTCAGTAGTTTAAAGGCTTTATGTTTCCATTGGATTCCACATAGCCTTGCTTTCCAAAAGGTGTTCTGATTTCAAGTGACCGACAGTTTTGACCTTGTTTAGGTCTCAGCAGTACTTCCGGGAGGCCCCGAACCCTGGTTTTGTAGCCTATCATCTCGACACGTTAACCACTATGCCACACTACTACGAGTACTCTTGGGTAGCAGAAGTGAATTTGAGGGAAGCCTAGGCCTTTCCCACAATACATTTCTAAGGTGGGATTATCGATAAATACAATATTTATATGCTTTATTTGTTTAAAAACCATCATATCAGAAATTCGATTTTTGATACTAACGATTATGGGATGATATTTTTCAAGTATATGTATATATTGTAGCTAAGTTGTTGATTAACAGGAATTGGGATGTTAAGTATCAGGCGGATACTTA